CTGCCATACCTTGCTTCTCCCTGGGGCTCTCACAAACCTGCCCAGCCACTCGGAACCTCTCTGTTTTCCATCTCTGGCGTCCTCTGGCCACCCCCTCCCAGGAACAGTGCTGTAAAAAGAAAAAAGGGGGATGTTAGAAAAGAGGAAATAGAGTCTTTGGAAAACAGAGAGTTTTACAACAGCCACAGGTTTTATGGAAGCAATTCCGTAATAACCTTCTACCTGCTCAGCTCCTTTCTGCCCCGCCTGCCGCCCACCCCGTTTGGCCTCCTGGATGCTCCCTCCCAAAGAGTCAGCCACCCCCACCACCTTCCAGATCCCTGATGGCTGAGAATTGGTAAGACAAAATTCCAGAGATCTGCCTGGGCCTCTGACCTCTCAGTCCTTCCTTTCACCTCTGACATTTTGGGAGGTTGGTTGAGCAGACGTTTTCGTTACTTTACAATTAAAATCCCCACTTGCTGGGTGTGTGTGGAAGCACTGAGGTTTGAACTCATGTGTGCAGATTCGATGTGATTCATTTTGGAGGCTATTTTGTATAAAGGGTGAAGGTTTGGGGGACCTTGATTTCTTCCTCCCTGGAGCAAGTGTCTCCACATCTCCTTTCCCAGAGTGGGTCTAGGCTCTGATCCTAGGTCAGAAGAAATATCTCAGGGTGCTTGGGGACACAGACTCTCAGGGACTTTTCTAATTTCGTTGTACACAGCAGTGCTTTTGTGTGACCTCTACAGTTACCTGAGGGCTTTCACATTAAACTCAACTCTGTCTACTGGTCAGATTCACACTTGTGTGGAACACACTCATGCACAACTAATGGTGCCTTCATCTGGTGCCCATCACTACCATGAAATAGGGATCACACGATGCACACTGCCCCTGCAGCTTTGGGTAAGACACGCAGTAAAAGGATTTCATGGTCGGACAAAAAAGTCACAAAATTTCATGACCTTGCCTGAACCAATTTGAGGCATTTCTTTCACCTTCCTGAGAAATATTTTAGAAGAAAGTTATAAAAGAATCCAGATTTAAGTCACATGTGTTTATTTGAGAAGATGGTATATATTTTGCTTGAATATCAAGTCAACAGGAAGATTTTTCAATTGAAGCTTCCGAATCAGCCAGTGTTTTGTAGTCACAATCCAAGTACACAAACATACAAGTTTTGCCCTTTTCTTACGGGTGTGATGGTTATTAAAATATACACAAAAGCTTTTAGATCATAGATCTTCTTATATGAGTAGAATTGTAAACCTACGTCATTCACAGGGATCATTCATTCATCCACATATATACCAGTAGATCTTATATACCAATGTTTAAGCAATCCAGTATTACGGTTGAGCAGATTTACTTATTACATATTCTATACACAACATTAGACCACAGCACATTTACACACCGGGTTCAATATTGATTTGAAATATACATACAGGATATACACATCTACTCAAACACAGCATGCATAAATTTCAGCTTAGCTTATAGATTAAAAACATCTTTTCCCCTTTATTATTTTTGTTTTTACTTTCTTCTTTTATTTTCCCATCTGCCTAAATTTTCTCTCTTCTTACAGACAAGGATCCTTCTAAAAGACAGCCCTTAAACTAGGCACTCACCGGCTGGTCCTGGCCAGGGCTGGCCTCTGTGCTCCCCATCTTGGCCTCTCTCCTGGGTTCTCTGGGCCCCAGAGTGGTCAGGGACTGCAGCTTTACCCTGCCTGCTCTTCCCGGAGCTACCAGATACCGGCCCCAGCTGTGTTCAGGCTCCGCTCGCTCTTGTGCAGGGAATGGCAAGAGGCTTTGAGGGAAGACAGGGTTTTCCTTCTTTCTCTTTAGGATTGGGGGTGGGGTGGGGAGCAGTTTCCTCTCTCAGGACAAAGTGACTTCCACTCAAGGAACCCCTCTATTAAGCACCTTTAGAAACTGGGCTCCACAGGCTGAAATCCTGTTTGCCTCCCTCAGCCATGGTAGTTACCATTGTCTGAGAGAAAAAAAACAAATTTTTTTTTTGGAAAGGGGGGAACACAGACCTTCAGAACACCCAAACAAGGGGCTCCCTCTCAGTCAACCCTTCCATCATTTGTCTGAACTGGAGTTGAGCTCCAATTTGGAGCAACAGTGTTTTCTAGAAAGCCTATCTGGGTGGGGCTCATGGCGTGGTGTATCCGAGTCCCCACCTGGAGGGGGATGACTGAGGTGCAAGACTCCAGGGCTTGGTGCTAGTTCACGCTTTTCCTTTCAGAGTCATCTCTCCTGAGAAGACTGAGACCCTCAAAGCCTGTCATTTTGAAATTGCTCCTATTTTCCAGCTTCTTTGTGAACTAAGGCTAAGTTTTGGTGTCAGAAAAGAGGTCTGAGTCCTCTCCTTATTCAGCACCCAGGAGCCACCCAGGGTTAGGGGCAACTCCCCAGACAGACAGCAACCCACAGTCTAGACCCTGCCTGCTGGGACACTCCCCCCTCATAGGGCACAAGCCATGAGCCCAAGTGCTCTTCTTCCTCTAACTTCTTCCCTAAACTAAGTGATCCTCTTGACTTCTCTAGTTGCACAGAAAGGTGGTGACAACGGGGGTGGTAAGGGCAACCAGAGGGACTGCAGTCAGAGTTCAGTGTCTGCACAGCCTGAGTCTTAAGAACAACCTAGTGGTGTGACTTTTCTATAAATTAAATAAAGTCCCTGCCCACAGTCCGCATGTCCTTTTGGACCCTAATTTATATACCACAGAAAGCCATATACTCAGCCCACCATGCTTCACAACACCATTATTTATAGCAGGAGGGATTTTTTTCCCCTGAAGAATATATTTATTACAGGTAAAGCCAACAGCAGACTCTATACGTCTGGCAAATCGAGAACAGGTGCTTTGCCTTAACTGTGATTCATTCACTCTGCACCCAGCTTCTCGCTGGCAAGTCTGGGTTTCTCTCTCTACTTTCCCAAGCATCCAACCACTACTTAGAAGAATTTGCATCGTGTTGTTATTGTTGTTTTTTTTTTGTCTCCGCACTTGAGTCCCATGGATAAAGCAGATCTTCCTGCCCTTCGGTTGGTTTCGGATCTGGATCTGCGGGGCTGTTGCCCTCAGAGAACTCGGGTGGAAAAGGAGGGGGCGGCTGCGTGCCTGCATTGATCTTTAAAAAATCATTTTGAAATAGCCATAATGTGAAGAAATATGGCGCTTTGCCCTCGTATTTCACATGTAATGACAGGAGATGGCTTCATTTGGAAAGAAAAGCTGGCGGGAGGGTGTGCATGTGCGGAGGTGATCTGCAGCCTTCTGCACTGCAGAGGGGTACATGGCCAAAAAGATAAAACCTCAAATTAGAATGGCCCCGCTTTTGTTAAAATAATGGGGCTGGGGCCAGCCTATTTCATGAGAGCCCGGAGTCAGAGAATGCCTAGAAAATCGGCCCCAGCCTGCCCCTAAACCCAACTTGAGGAGAATTGAGTCTGTCCAGGGACTGCCCTCCCTGAGTGCCCACACCACAAGAAGCAACTGCACCCAGGACAGAAACTGGGAAAGCAAGGGCTGGGAGATGAGCAGGAAGCTAGCCGGTGGCCCCGAGGGAATCCCAGGTCCCGGCCCAAAGAATTGATACCAACAAAACAGGGGATTTGGAAGCTCCAGCGAGAGAGTGAGAGAGTCGCAGGAGGGAAGGCGCGGGTAGGCGGGAGACTGGAGACTGACCCGGAAGGCTCCCTGTCTACGCTGGTGCCCAACACTAGTATTTGCAAATCTTTCAGGGTGACAGTGATGGGTGAGAGAAGCGGGACAGGAAAGTCTTAAAAGGCTCTATCCTCACTGGGTGGGAGGGGAGATAACTCTGGACCCCTTCCCACATCTCTGCTCCAATGATACCTTAGGGAAGTTACCTTAATCCTTTGTCACATTCAGCTCCCCTAACGGCAATTCTAAGTGCCTGGCCTGTTATTCAGTGGAGGAAAGGAAGAATGGCTATGTCCCTCTCATCCCCATACTTCCCTCTGGCCAGGGCCAGAGAGAGGCCCAAGAAATTTAAAGGAGCTTTGGCTAATTGTATTAAACTCTTTCACAGGCTCAACTTTCCAGGGCCTGATGAATAGCCCTTTAGCCTCATGCAGGTTCTAATTTTAGGGCAGCTAAATTTTAGGACAGGGTTTTTGCTCACTCACCCCCTTATATTCCCATCTCTCCTCTTTCAGCTACTGAGGGGGTCAAGAGAAGCTTCCAGGCTCAAATAGTAACGCTCCTCAAATAGTCACAGAGAGCCCCCTCCAAAAAGGGTAAAGTCTTAAAAATTCCCAACTTCTATCCATCATCTCCAGTGAATTGCTGCTGCGCAGTTTAATAAACATCTTGTGTCAAGAGGACAGAAAAGAGGAAACGAGGGCCTGCGGGGTGGAGTGGAGGTGTGTGTGTGTTGGGGGGGGGGGGGAGGCAGGACCACTTCCTCTTTAATTATGCTGTGGGCCCCTCTGGCTGCTCCCAAGCTGGGGCTCTCTCTCCCTCTGCCCTGCTCTCCCTCTCTCCCTCCTGGACCCGCCTGGGGAGAGGGTTCCACAGCCCCAGCCCCTCCTGAGGCAGCCCGCTGCTTTCCCTCCGCCTCTCCTCCGCCCCCGCCGCCCCACGTCGAGAACTCCACCCCCCTTCCTGCAAAGGCGCGGGGGGGGGGGGGGTAGCGGGCGGCCGGCTGCTCTGGCTGAGGTTACGTGGCCGCCCGAGCCCTGACGTGATAGCACATTGCATCAGCATAAAACAATCCATCCTCGATATGGAATGCGGTGCGGACGGATGACAGAGAGAGCGCAGCCCCCTCGCCGGATTGATTTATGTCGGAGCTGACGCTTTATCAGGCAGTCGGAAAAACTTTGACCAATCATTTTGCAAGGAGCGCTGAGCCGGGCTGCTCCACTGTACTTTGTTGGCTGAGAAGTTGAGCAGGGGGTGGGGGTGGGAGGGTGGGGGGCTGGGGGGGTCGCGTCCGAAAGCCCTCACACGGGTCTGGGTGCCACCTCTCCCTGCTTGGGCGCCGCCGCGCGAGCGCTTCCCTTCCCCCTGCGAGCGCCCGGATAATGTCTGAGAATGTCCATTTCTGGGACGCTTAGCAGCTATTATGTCGACTCGATCATAAGTCACGAGAGTGAGGACGCGCCTCCAGCCAAGTTTCCTTCCGGCCAGTACGCGAGCCCCCGGCAGCCGGGCCACTCGGAGCACCTGGAGTTCCCTTCCTGCAGCTTCCAGCCCAAAGCGCCGGTGTTCGGCGCCTCCTGGGCGCCTCTGAGCCCGCACGCGTCCGGAAGCCTGCCGTCCGTCTATCACCCCTACATCCAGCCCCAGGGCGTCCCGCCGGCTGAGAGCAGGTACCTCCGCACCTGGCTGGAGCCCGCGCCGCGCGGCGAAGCGGCTCCGGGGCAGGGCCCGGCGGCGGTGAAGGCGGAGCCGCTGCTGGGCGCGCCGGGGGAGCTGCTCAAACAGGGCACGCCCGAGTACAGTTTGGAAACTTCGGCGGGCAGAGAGGCCGTCCTGTCTAATCAAAGACCCGGCTACGGGGACAATAAAATTTGCGAAGGAAGCGAGGACAAAGAGAGGCCGGATCAAAGTAAGTTATAAAAAGTGAGGAAATACCCAAGCCGAAGGCCAGGCGAGGGGGAGGGGAGAGGCAATAAACTGCGGACAATGTGAAGGGAAACCGCGGCGGTGGCCCGGGAGCGAGCTGGGGAGGAGGGCAGAGAGCGGAAGGAAGGAAGCAAGCTGGGTACCCCGGAGGGGAGCCCGAGGCTGCGGGAGGAGCGACGCCCCCGCTACTCAAAGTCCTGAAGGGAACTGCGGCGCAGGGACCAACTCGCTGCTCTCTCAGCCTCCCTTCCCCCACTTTTCCGGAGACCCGGCTGAAAGATCGGGGTGAGGCTGATCACGACGGGCCCGGAGAAGAGATGGCGGGGCCCGGCGGCAGCCAGCGAGGCGGAGTGCCCGCGCGGGCAAGGGCGGGAGCGCACGGGGCTGCTCGGGCCCGCGCTGCTGGCAGAGCTCCCCGCGCCACGCGCAGACCGTAAAAGCCGGCCAAGGGGAAGTGGGAGGGGGCTCATTAGGATTTTATTTGCGATGCAACAGCTTGGCGGAGGATTGAGCCCAGCAGATTTAGAGCAGTAGCGGCTAAGGGTCCACAGCCGGCGCCGGGAGGGGCGGGGGAAGCCCAGGACCGGGTGACTGAGCCCCCTCCCCGGATGCGCCGGCCCCTCCCCGGGAGCCTTCCTCCCGGCCTCCTCCACCCCTCTAAGGCATCCTCTCCTGGGTTGCGGCTTCCTTACGCCGCCCACCCTCGCTGCTCTCCGAAGGGCTCCTTAGCCCCAGCTAGTGCAGCCCGCTTCGCAGGGACTCGGGAATCGCATCCGAACTTCGGGGCCGACAGCCGGAGCGGAAAAGGAGAGATCCAGAAGGAACCCCGGGGAGAGGAAGGGTGGGGGAAGAGGGGCTTACGGAGAGGTGGAGAACTTTACCCTTCGACGTAGTTTCTCATCAACTCCCACACCCCCGTAAGCATCCCCTCCAGGAACCCAAGTCTGGCTCATTTCCCGAAGGTGCTGCTGACTGAGGGTGGTGGTGGGAAGTCTCTTATTTTTTGTTATTGAGGTTGAGAAGAGCACATTTTTGGGAGCTCAGCCCCAACCAATAATTCTCAGGCTGGTGGGGGCAAGTCCTCACCCCTTACTCTTTTTGGAGGGTGGAGGTCAGCTTTTTTGCTCTCTGCTTGCTTTGCCAGATTTCCCACCAACAGAGTGGTGCATAGGCCCTTTGGGGCGTTCCTACTGCCCCACTCCCCTGAGGTCCCTGTGGGGTCCCACCTGCCAGGTTGAATCACAGGAGCTGACATTTGAGTAAAACCGGCTCATCCCAAACCCTCCCTACTCACACCCAAACAGAGGCCCCCCCACCCCATACCCCCAAACTCTGCCTGGAAAGCCCATTATTGCAAGGCAGCAGTTTGGTTAGGATCAATTATTAACATTTTCCCCTCTTTCATATTTAATGTGAATGTAGGTCCCATCACAGGCAATCACATTAAGGAAATAGCTCTGCAAATTGGTAAGACATGGTGCTTAGTATAGGATGAACCAGATTATTTTTAAAAATATATTTAGTGATTTTTTTATTTGGGGAGAAGGGGTCTAGCAGAGGGTGGCTGTTATTTTTAATAGCGCTGCTTTATTTAGCAACTTTTCTGAGTTCCAAGGTAGGGAGAGAGACAGCAAGGAGAAGAGAAGCCTGTACATATTTTTTTTTATCTGTGCCCCCCCCAATTACCCTTTTTTCTTTTCCCCTTCACCACATGGAGCCAGTTGGAGTTAGGTGTGCTGTGAAGGGCTTTCTGTTACCCCCACCTTATCCATGGCTACCCACCTTGGGACTGGAGCAATCTTGCTTCCCAATTTCCCTGAACTTGCTTTAACCAAACTGCGAGCTGAGCAGGAGCGGAAAAGGAGACTATTGCAACCATAAGTTATCTGTGAGCCCCTGGCGCTCCCTTGTCCACAGACTGGAGTTGATAAATGGTTGCAATTGGATTGCTTGTGAATTGGAGTGTGCTGAATGTTTGTGTCTCTAAGTGCGGACCCATTTTGTGGTGTGTATGTGTGTGTGTGTCTGGGGGGGGATATCTACACAGACACACATGCCTGCTGCCATGTGGCCAAGAGACTTGAGCTTGTGACCAAGGCATGGTGTATTGGCACTGGACTGGTGGGCCAAGAGGTCTCTTGGCTGTGGCTGAACAGAAGCTGCTCTCCCCCAGCCCAATCCTTTTCTCACCTCCCAGACCTAGAGCCACGACCCTTCACATCAGCACTGGAGGGGGGTCACCATGCTGGGCTCTGACCTGAGTCCTGACCAGTTTGGACCCAAGTATAGAAAGAGACTGAAAGAGGACCTGAGGCAGGCAAAGCTTTAGAAGTGCTGACCAGCCTGGCATATGGTTGGCTCCCTCCTGTCCAAATAACCTCTCACCTGGAGATGTCCAAAGCAACTCCTGACCCATTGCTGGGCCCCCTCTGGGAGCTTGAAGGCCCAGGTGCCCCCTTCTCCAATGCAAGGTGGGGAGTAGAAACTAGGGGGATGTGTCCTGTTGGAAGGAGAACAGGAGAACCCTTCATCCCTCCCCTTCCTTTGATTCTATCGCTGCTTCTCTTTCAGCCAACCCTTCTGCCAACTGGCTGCACGCTCGCTCTTCCCGGAAAAAGCGCTGTCCCTACACCAAATACCAGACGCTGGAGCTAGAGAAGGAGTTTCTGTTCAATATGTACCTCACCAGGGACCGTAGGCACGAAGTGGCCAGACTCCTCAATCTGAGTGAGAGACAAGTCAAAATCTGGTTTCAGAACCGGCGGATGAAAATGAAGAAAATGAATAAGGAACAGGGCAAGGAGTAAAGATTCCCCCTCCCCTTCCCACCCCGTCCATCTCACGCCTATTTATAAGTGATGGCTGCAAAGCCAGTGCTGTCTGGGATGTGTTCAAGTGAATGGGGAAGGGAGTCTTTCTCTTCAAAGTCCTTTCCTGCAATCTAGAGCCTCTCTCCTCTCCTTTGCTCTTACCAGCCCTCTTCTCCCTGGACCTCGGGAGAAAGCTTTGTTAATTTAGAAGGTAGATGTAGTTGGTTCCTAAGAAGGGGATGGGCCACAAGGAAAGAGAGACCCTAGATGAGCACCTAGCAACCCACCCCCTCCCCAATTTTTCTGGGAAGGCCCAGCCCCTGGCTTCCAGCCTGCCTGTTTTCCCCTACACCTATCCCAAAGTCACCCAGGGACACTCCAACTGCACACAGTCCAACAGATGCCCTCGTACATAAAGCCTGGAGCCCACAGTCATGAAGAGGAAAGCTCACAGCCAACATTCAAATTAAGTGACCTCCCAAATGCAGACCATCGCACCTCAAATCTGCTAGAACAGCCAGCAGACCATCAGGCAAGATTCTATCCCTGATGCAAATACAGAGCAGGATGTCTAGAGACACTCCTGAGTGAGGCACTGAAGCCCAGAGGGCTGAATATCACAATACCACCTCCACAGAACCCTCAACTCTATCCTGCCCGAACCAAGGGCGACGGGGGATAAACTCAGCCCCAAAGCTGGTGGGTAGACAGGGCAAGGAAAGGCAGCGGTAGTCTTATGAAGGTATCTTAGGTTTTATGAAGGCATTCCATACACATTTTGTTGCAGGAAATGTTTAATTCTGCATGTTGTTTTCCTCTCCTTCCAACAAAAGGAGGTCAAATTGTGGGTCGTAAGCCTTGACAATGTTGTCCGTCTCTTCATCTGTGCCCCACTTGACTGAGACTAGCTTCTCTTGCCCTCCACCGGCCCTTGCGTTCTTCCGCATCCTCCCAACTCTGAAATCAACTCTGTTTGGCCAAATCCGCCTAACACCAGCGAGTAAAGCCGTCCCTTGCAGAAAACCCTCCACCTTCCATCCCCTGCTTGGTCAACCCGACCTTAGGCAGGGAAACCAGGGCAGGAGAGTTCCATGGAGAATTTATTGAGAATCGATTCCGGAGCTCCCTTCCGGTGTAAGTTGTGGCGGACAGGGAGGAGCAAAGGCTCCAGCGCGGCATTAGGCGAATTCCACCCCATCCTGCCCACGTCCGGACCCACGCGGAGGAGCCCCGGGGCTTGGCGGGTGCCCGCCGCAGCGCAGGAGGAGACCAGCCCCAGCAGCGCCCATCTTTGCTTCCCACGACACGGGCTTGGCTGGCGATCTGTGCCGCTGCTTCGCGCACACTTCTGGGGAACAGTCCCGCGTGCAAAGGAAAGAGGCGGAATGGCACCTAAACTGAAGCTTACTCTCGGTTTCCCTTCCACCCCCTGTTCCCCCAGCTCTCCAATCCCTTCCAATTCCTTGAACTCTTGCTTCTGTGTTTCCGGCCCCTACAAGGGGACATTCCAGTAGAACTTTTTTTGCTTTGTCAGTGGCTGTCGTGAAATTGTGCTGTGTTTTGTGATTTCTTTGGGGGTGATTGTCTCGCCTGTTTTCAGTTGTCTCTTATATAGGAGGGTGGTGGGTGGGAGTGGGGAGGAGGGTAAGGGGCCTAGAGCTCTCTGATTGTTTTGGAAGAAAAAAAAAACAAGAAAAAGAACAAAAAATATATATCACTCTAGAAAATAAAACTCTCCTTGTGTCTTATTCTGTGTTGGCTCTCCTCACCTGGTCAGTGGTAAAGATCCTAGTTCCAAGAGGGTAGCTTGGAAAAAAGAGAGAGGCCCCTGTGCCCAAGAAGTTTCTCCCTAGACCTTGCAAACAGGATTCTTGGGGGAGCCGAGAGCTAGTCTGGACCCAAGGTCCCAAGACCACTGCTTAAATTGAATAAGAGCCTTCCCACAGGAGAGAGAGGGATTGGAGGAGGAAAGGGAAGGGAAATGTGCGTTTTGGAGAGGGGTCTGGTCTTGCTTCCAAAATTGCACCTCCCCACAAACTCCAGCGCCAGAGGGAAGGCGAGGCCAGCCCTGCAGCTCCTGAAAGCAGTTCCTCTCTCAGCAACTGAGAATGTCACCTTGGTTTGGTCACTTTAAAATATCATGCAAATAAGGAAGGCAGTAACTTCCTTCTGCTATTCCCTGCAGCTGCATGACTGGTTAGGCAGAGGCCTGTGGAAGGCTGAGCTCTCCTTTCTTCCAAGGAGCAAATCCCTCAGGGTTCTTGGTCCCCACCAGGAATCTGAGGCTCTGCCTTGGTATAAAGTGGGTGGAGGTTGGTAGGAGTAGACACCTAGGAAGGCAGCTCCCAAAGGCAAGGAGAGAGGATTGAATGTGGAAGAGAATTGTCTCAGGAGAAAAGAAATTCCTTTTCCAGTTGGACCCCAGAGCTAAATTCTCTTGAGAGAGGCACCTTTCTGTTCCTCTCAGATTGTGGTGTTCCTGCCGGAGCCCCTTTGAAGTCAGATGTTCTTGGGCAGCTTTGTCCTTCTCATCCAAGCTTTGGGATTAGGCTTCTACTGGGCTGGCGATTGGGAAGCCGCTTCCCGCTGGAGCCTCCCACCGGGCCACCCCAGCGCGCTGCAGCCAGCAAGGACCCGAAGGGATGGGGGTAGAGGTAGGGACAAAGCATAACCTGAGTGAAAGGACCCTGGAAGTGAAAGTCCAGGCCAACCCCTCTCCAGCGAACAAAGGGATGTACTAATCAGAGAGAAGGCGAGAGGCAGGAGAGCGCGAAACCCCTGAAATATGGCACGACCTGGCACCCGCATCCTCCAAGGATTTCATTCGGGATATAAAATGAATCTGTCTTTAGATCTTGTGTAGACTAGGCTCCCCCCTCATCCTGGTCTCCCTGGAGCCAGCCGGGGCTGAGAGTGAGGCGAGAAGGCCGGGTTCCGCCCAGAGGAATCGCAAGGGGGGAAAAAAAGGAGAGGAGAGCTGCGGGGTACGGGGTGAGGGCGCTGGGAGAAGCCTCCGGCGGCGTCTGGGTCCTTAGCCGTGGTGGCTTCGTTAAAGACAGACAAAGGCGAAGATGCGGAGGCTGGGAAGCCGGAGATGGGGAATCTGTTGTCATAAAAGAGAGCGAGAGATTCAGAGAGGAAAACCGCGAGAGTGCGAGACAGAAAAGCCGGGAGAGGAATTCAATGCCGTGTGCGCAGCAATAAAAGAATATGACCGCTATAAAAGTTTATAGCGTATAAATTTCTGAAGGTTAAGAAACTAAACAGCAGCAAAGCAAACAGTGAGGGGAAACTTTCCGGAGCTGAGAGAGCTGCAGCTGGGCCCGGGCTCCGGGCCTGGCTGGGGGAATGGGTGCGACTGGCTCGGAGCCCCCACCTTCACCGCTCAGTACCGAGTTTGAGATTTCCGGGGCCCCAGGGGGCAAAGAGGGGAGAGGACAGAAGGGAGAGACAGAAACACTTTGTTGTCCCAAATGCTTAGAGAACGCATTTGGAACTCTTGTCTTTGTTCTTCACACCCCCTCCAGAATCGGACGTCATAAAGAAGCCCCGTCCCTGCAAGCGAGAGCGCGCGCACGAGCGCGCGCGCGCACACACACACACACACACACACGTCCGGCGGGGCCAGACGTCTGGGAGCGGGCAGCCTCTTGATCTTTTTACAGTCCCATTCCACCCTCTCAGGCCTCCTCTCCCCCCAGAAAAAGCTCAATTGTTTCTCCTCAGAATTTGAAACAATCGTTTGGGTTTGAAAAGTGCTCGGCTCCCCCTTTTACTGGCCATAACGGCACACTGTTTGGCGGTCTCCGCCAGAACTTCAGGTCTTGAAATGGGGGGCAGGTGTCAGTAGGAGAGAAAAAAGCTTATGGTTCTTTTTTTCCCCCTCCCCACCCCTCACCCTGGTTTTTGTTTGTTTTCTTAGCTTATCTGCACAATTTCATGAACCATTTCTTGATTTTCGATGCCTTTTCTCTCGCTCGCTCTCGTTTCTCTCCCCCTTTTCTACCAATAACGAAAGTTTCTGCTCTCTTGCTGCCGGGGTAGCTGGCTCTCAGAGAAACTGACCGAGTCGGTGGCAATGACGCCTTTTTTCAGGGTGGCCGCTAGATGGCAGCCTTGCTCCATGTGAAAATCCCCGGGTGCGGCGGCTGCGGGCGCTGGTAGCTGTACTTCGCACTTTAGTCGGCCCTGAATCTACGAACTCAGAGCTACCAAAAGTCATGAATAATTTGTGCTTAATAAAAATATAGGGTTCATTATAGCCGTTCCCCCCATTTTATAGATTTTAGATGTACTGGTGTTGCCCCCCTCTTCTCAAATGGTCAATTTTATTAATTTCTCCCAGGAGGAGGGCTCAGCACTTCTCACCCACCCAGTTTCTGTTTTCGGTGAGACAACAAATGCAAGAGAATGAGGGCATAGTAATAATAATAATGATAATAATAGGAAATGAGTCTAAAAAACGAGAAGAATTGATTTGGGAAAATGATAGTTTTCTGGGGAGGGGAGCAACAGGAATGTCTGCGGATGCGGGTGAGCAAGTCAGGTGAGCGGGGAGAAGCGGCAGAAGTGTCAGATGGAGAGGGAGCTGCGGGAAATATGCTGCCAGATCGGCAGGAGAGGGAACCGGGTGAGCTAGCCCGGGGTGGGGGAGATTGGGGGGGAAATGGATTCGTGGTTCTGGTGGGAATTGGAGGTGCCCATAGCGGGCGAGGCGGGCTCCACACGGACGGAGGCTCCAAGAGCCTTTGTAAGAGTTGGGGTCTGGGCTGGGCACGCGCCAGGTCGACCCAGGCGCAGAGCAGGGGCTCCCCGGAATGGCGAGGTATGGGAAGGCTCCGGTGTTTCGCTGAGAAAACATGAGCGTTTTGCGGAAGCAAGTGGGACAGGCACCGCGGCTGCAGGGAGCAGGAGCTTGGTTTAACCCGTGGTCTGTGGTTTCCAGGTGCCAACTCCGGCTTGATGCGCAAACGTGAGGAGCACGCAATTTAGCAGCT